CCATCACCCACCCCCTACCACCACCTACCACCACCACTCACCACCCACTTGCTACCACCGACCACCGCCTACCTGCCACCCACTCGCCACCACCACCCCCCCCTCGCCGCCACCACCACCACCACCACCCACTCGCTATCACCTACCACCCGCCACCATCACCCACCCACCGACCACCACCCGCCACCTACCACCACCACCACGCACCACCCACTCGCTACCACCTACCAGCCACCATCCACCACCTGCCATTACCATTCACCGCCCGCCACCACCACCCGGCACTTACTTGCCACCACCACTCACCACCCACCTGCCACCACCAGCCACCCACCACCACCGCCCACCTAACACCCACTCGCCACCACCATCCACCACCACCACCACCCACCACCACCATCACCCACCACCCAACCCGCTACCCACCACCCACCGTCACCACTTTTCACCACCGTCTTCCGCCGCCACTTGCCACCACTTGCCATTTCTCACTTTTTTTTATATTTTTAAAAATTTTTAAACATTTTGTCAATTACGAAACGCGTTTGTAGTTTATGTTTTTTTAAAAATAAACAAAAATCAGTTTATAAAATTTTTATAAATATAAACTGAAAACGTAAACGTTACCAAACAGACAAACCGACAGAACAATCTGTTAGCCCGTTTAAGTCAAGTTCGTTTGATAGAGCTTGGGCTTAAAATTTTTGGTCTTAGGCTAACCCATGAAAACAAATTTCGTCAAGCTTAGCCCACAGGATGATTTGGATACCATTTTAAAAGTCGGGCTAGCCCGATGCAAACTCAAACTATCACATTATTCTTGATATCAAATTATTTTAAAAAATTGTTACATTATCAACTTATATCACGCAAATTTTTAATTTCTATGTGATTTCTCATGTTAAATTGTGAGACCTACTTCTTTTTTTAAATATAGTAAATCCTATACATACACCACTTTTTTGCATGAATATACACCTCACTCGTTTTTGTCAACTATTAGATTGTGTTTGCTTAGAAAATTTTATGAGATAAATGAAAAGAGAAAATGACATGCAATTCTATTTTTTAGTTGATTATAATAAAAACACAAGGGAAAATAAAGTAATAGGAAATACAATCCCACTTTTTGTTATTTGAGTTAACTTACGCTGTGTTTGATTAAAGAGTTTAAAAAGAGATTTGGAAAAAAAAATAAAAAATAAAAAAATAAATGATATATGAATAAAATATACCTATATATCACCTACTTTCACACATTTTTTTCCTTTTCCTTTTCAAATTCCTTCCCAAATCCCTCAATCAAATACAGCATTGGGTTCTTTTCTTTTTTCATTTTCCAACTCAACCAAATATAACTTAAAATTTGAATCCTTTCAATTCTCTCTCTCTTTGTTTTTTTGTTTTTTGTTTTTTTTTTCTATTTTCCTTTCCCTTTCTATTTTTCTCATTAAATCCTCTAACCAAATACTAACTTAAAGATATAAAGAGAAATGTATTTATCATTACATGCCTAAAGAGTTTCTTTATATGGAAAATTACCATTCAAGGCAGATTTTGAAAAATTATTATACATTGATGAAAAAAATTATAATTATAATTATTAATATTTATTATTTTTTTATTTTTTGACACCTCTTAGGTATAATTTCCCCTTCTATCCATCCCCCCCAAATTTCTTCCACAAATGTATCTCTTCATAAACTCTTACTAGTAAGAGTTTATAGTTATAGAGTAAGTGAACTCTAACTGAGAAAAATATGTGAAAGTATACTTTTGTGAAAGAAAATTATAGAGACGTAGCACTATGAATATGTTGATGATGAGACTAGTCAACTATAGCGGTATAAAAATGACCCGTGGCCTGTGGGTGGCCTGAAACCCGCCTGCAACCCGATTAGGCCTGGGCGTGGGCTATCATTTTGAAGTCTAGCTTAGCCTGACCCGTGGCCCGCTCAAAATCCGACCCGAGGGTCGACTTGTCCGGCCCGCCCAAGATCCAATGCAATTTTTAATGAAAAAGAATAAAATTTTGATAGAAAAATATAAAAAAAAAATATATGTTTAGACCCGTCCAAGCCCAGCCCAAGCCTGAGCCTAGGCCTAAGCCTGCCAGCCCACCTAAGGCCCGAATACCCCCTAGGCCTAACCTTGGGCCTAATTTTTTAACTTGTGGGTCAGTTTGGCCTGACCCGAATTTTGGCAGGAGCTCGGGCTGCCCGACATGGGCCGGCCCTAGTCCGGGCCCGAGTGGGCCGAGCCAGCCCAATTCACACCCCTAGTTGACTGTAGAGTTTTGCGAACTATTTGGTTGGTGTATTAAGGCTTGTTTTGTCATCACGGTTAAAAGTCAGTTTTTTGAATTTTTGATTTTTTTTGGCGTATCATCTCTCTATTTTTTTATATATTTAAAAAAAAATTAAAAAAATCAACTTTTAACCTACTTTTCAAAATAGACCTTGGTCATCGCTTTAATAGTTTGACCCTTGTAATAATTAGGGTGTGTTGATGTATTTATTTGTGATTTTTTTATGATATACTCTTGCCTTTTTTTTTTATTAAAATAGAAAAATGCTTGAAACCTCCTTTTTTGGGGACCCCACAACTCTTTTTAGATTTCAATTATTGATGTATGTATGGGATCCACACCATTAATGGTTGAGATCCAAAGGAGGTTATGGGAGTCTCTAAAAAAATGGATTTCAATCCTTGTTGATTAAAATATTGGTTAGCCCTTGATTATTTTCTTCTTTTATTTAGTCATATATGACTAAAAAGGATAATGTTATATAAATTAATAAATTATATAAAAATTTTATTTCTTAGTGTGACATTTGACACATTATTAAAGTAGATCTTGTTTTGAATTCTAAATTTTTTTATTTTTAATATATTAATTAATAAAATATTTATAAAATTTATTAATTTGTATAATATTTTTTTGGCCAAAATAATTCTTTTCATGAGGTTATTCACATAATTTTAAAGGTTGTTTAGGGATGATTTATAAGTTGATTTTTTTATTTATTATGAAAAGATGTGCAGAAAAATAAAGAAATCGTGTGATAAAAATAAATCAACAAATAAATAAATAAAACTAATTTTTGTTGTCCCCAAAAGAGACCTGAGTATGGAACAGCCCGCACATGTGTGACCCATATAAAATGTTGGTGTATTGGAGGAAAAATTATTAGTTGGTCTAGGAGCACCACGGGACCATATCTCTTACCAATCAAAAACTCCTATATCCGTTCATATTTTTTAATCATTCAATACAAAATCATAAATCCTATTCTCTCAACCAATCAAAACACGTATAGGACATCACGTGCAGTGTCCTAAGACCAACTAATAACTTCTCTCATCGGAGTCATCTTCCTTGATTAATTTTATACATCTTTATGTATTAAAAATTATTTATTATTTTATGTACATGTTTGTTAGTAACATAGCTATGACACATCACATAATATATAAATGTGATTTATTTTAGGAATATTTGCAATTCGTTTTCAAAATAAATTTTAAATCAGTGGTAAAATTTATCAATTTTAATAATTAAAATAATAATTTTTTTCATGAATTTACAATTTTTGTTTAGTTGCATTTTTTCCTTATTTTTATTCATAATAATAATATTCTGGCCGTTGATTATTGGTCTCTCCTCCATCCCATGTTTAATGGGTGGTTGAAAGAGAGTGGAATTTTTTTTTTTCTTTCCTCAAATTTCTAAAATTGCTGTCATTTTAATTTTTAAAATTTTTGAAAAACCAAAACTTCATCAAACAAACATTTAGGCTGCATTTAGATCTTGATATGGAAGGATTTGTTAGAGAATAGAAAATGGGATTCACTTTTGTTCTCCATTTTCTCTTTTCTTTTCATTAAATATCTATTTAAATCCAAGATTCAAATCCATCATTTTAACTTTTTCACATACTAGCATTAACTTGGCTTTTTTTGCAACAGAAAGTCTAGGCACACAGAGGACCAAACACAGATCTAAACACAGAAAGTGTGCATCCGATCGTCTATCGGGCGATCAGCCAAAGCTTGTCGACTGCAACTGTCATCTTGGTTAGAGCTTGTCAATCGTGGGTGTCTTGGTGTCGACCGCGGTTGTCATGGTGCCTTTCGGTCGTCCAGGCAATCGTCCAATGGAACAATTTTTATGTTTAGTTCTGTGTTTGGTTCTCTGTATGCGTAATACTGTTTTTTTTGCAATAGCATGTCAAAACATAATTGTAAATCTTTATTTTTATTTTTGTAAATTATACTAACTTTTCTTAAAATTTGAAAAAAGAAAATATACACTAACTCTTACAAATTTGACTTATTACATTGTAGTCTCTTAAACTGTATTTGGTTCATGAATTTGAGAAAATATTTGAAAAAATAAAGGAAAAAATATGTAAATTATAGGTAAAATATAGTTATATTTCATTCACATTTCACGTGCATTTTTCCTTTCCCTTTCCCTTTTGAAATTCTTACTCAAATCCATGAACTGAACACAGTACTATAGTTTAAATTCATAATATTGTCTCATTTTTATCAATCATTTGTTAGTCAAATTAATGAAACAATAATATTTTGATAATATTTACACTAAAATATATATTTTACGCTTGATTATCTATATGTTAACACTCTATTTGAATTACTTTTAGTCGCTTCAGCATTATTAAAAAAAAAAAAGATCAGCATAATTATGCCAAACTTGTGAGGCTTATAATATTTTTTTCAAACCTTAAGAATGATCAATATAATTTATTTTTTGCCATGTCGACTGCAACAAAATTAAAAAATTTATTATCCATAGATTGAATAGCATTGAAATAACATTAGAAAAATAACAGGGACAATTAAAAAACACATTCACGAAAAAATTTATAATTTTAATTATTAATACTTATAAAATTTCACATTAATTTGTAATTATTTTCAACACCTCACTGATTTGATATTTTCCCAATATAAAATCAGCAACAATATAAGCATAATCACAAACTGAGAAACAAAAATTATTAGATCTACTGCTTACAAAGTAAAATAAAGGTAAAAAATTATTAGATCTACTGCTTACAAAGTAGCGGAAATGTTTCCCACATATTTTCTAAAGGTACTTTCTTGTTTTTATTTTTTTCTATTCTTTTTTCTTGGTTGGATTGAAGGACAAAGTAGCGGAAATATAAATTCAATATCAAAAGAAATGTGGGCTACCAGGAGGCCCTGGTGGACCGGGTGGGCCACCAGGAGGCCCTGGTGGACCAGGAGGTCCAAAAGGACCTGGAAAGCCAATGGGAGGACCTGGAGGGCCAATCGGAGGACCAAAAGGATTAGGAGGTGGAGGCGGTGGGGGAACCGGAGGTGGAGGCGGTGGGGGAACCGGAGGTGGAGGTGGAGGCGGTGGGGGACCCGGAGGACCAAGAGGTGGACCTGGAGGGCCACTGGGCGGCCCAGGCGGATCACCAAAGCAATCTTGCAGCAACCAACAACAGCAAACGAAATAGAAACTACAAACAGAAAAAACATGAAGCAAGCAGTTAAATGATGAACATACTAACATATACTTATGTTTCATTTGATATTGGCTTTTTGGCTAAAAAAACACAAAAGGCAAAATAGGTTAAATAAGTCAATAAGATAAAATTACATCTAAACCATAATCATTTCACTTTTTCTTTTACAAAAATCAAAAAAAGCCAAAAAAAAACTAAACCAAACAAATTTTTAATCTCAAGCTGAAATAGTCAAAAAGTCAACAAAAAAAAACCAATTGTCAAACGGCAACTTAATACTCTAACTAATTACCCTTGTGAAGCAATAATTTAAACAATTTTAACATAACTGTCCGACTTCTAAAGTTTGCATATTCACAAGAGTTTCATGTACTATCTAAAATTCTTGATAAGAAGTGATTTATTATTCATGGGATGAACATTTTGCACAATGAAAGTGTCTAGTGAAACAAACAGAACCAAAAATCACAAAAAAAAAAAAAAAATCACCATTCCAAAAAAAAAAAAAATTACTAACCAGGAAGATATGGTACTGCATAAGTTATTGACAAAGCCACCACAAAACCCCCCCGGTATGAATGGAGCTGGAGGCCCTGGACCCGGCCCAGGCCATGGAGGCCCTGGGCCTCCCGGATCACTCGGTGGTCTCATCTAGCCTTCTGAATTCGCTGCTACCACCTGAGAAAATGGAGAGAGAGAGAGAGAGAGGATAATAATATGAGTGGCAATGGGAGGTAGGACTTGGAGACTAGCAACATAAATAGAGGTTTTTGGGGGGGTGTGGTTTAGTGTAGCCTAGACGGGTTAGAAGCTGAACATGTGCACATAACTGCATCACATATAATTCCACTACTAGACTTCCCAAACCTACCTTTCAGACCCTCCAAAGTGCAACTGCTCTTCTTCAACCTACTTTTCTTCGAAAAAAATTAGTTTCACAATATTTACAAATTATGAAAAAATTTATAATTTTAATTATTAAAATTGTTAAAATTTACCACTAATTTATTTTTAAAATTTTTTGAATATACACTGAATTGCAATTTCTCCCTTTTTTTCAAACCTCGTCTCTTTTAACACTACAGTTAACAATCTTTTAATCATTCTACTCTAGTCTTCAAAATTTACGACTTGTTATAATTTAGTTCCTGATTCAAAATCAATAACAAAAGAAGTGGTATTTTTTAAATTTTACAAGAAGCCTTTACAAAATTAAAATGACTAAATACACATAATGTAAAAGTATACATTTTGTCATATTTTGGTTCTTATAATATGCGTTTTGTTTTTATTTTAATCTCCAACCCCTCCTCCCATTTTTGATTTTGGATCTTGTTAATGTTAGAGACTAAAGTGTAACAGATCCCATATTTTGTTAACAAAATTTGAACATTTAAAATATTGAAGACTAAAGAATAATATAATGCATACTTTGATGATTATTTGTGTAATTAACTCATTTTTCTACTTTGAATCGGTTTTTTTTTTATATACTTTTATTTTATTAAAAACAAAAAAAAAGTCATAAAGATAAACCAAACCAAGAGAATCAAGCTAAACAATCAACTTGCACTTCTAATCAAACGTGCATTAACTGGTGGAACTGACGTGTTACTATTTTGCACGTGTATGCATAACTTACCAAACTTGGTAGAGTATGGTTTAATTTTGGAATTCCAATCCAAAAAAATTAAATTTTATTTTTTTCAAAATTTATAACTAAACACTCAATTCAATTTTTATTTTTTAAAAAATTCTTCTTAAAACTAAAAATTCAAAATTTTTTTTCCAAACTCTTTTTTTCAAATTTTAAAAAAAAAATCATTTTTTTTTATTTTTTAGTTTTTCAAAAAAAATAATTTGTCATTTTTTTAAGTATTCGCCAAATAATTTGTTATGATTTAGATACACATGGGGGATCTAAAATTTTTTAAAATTTTAAAAAATTAAATATTTAAATAATAAATAAAAAATATTCAAACAAATATTTTTAAAAAATATGTAAAAAAATAAAATAAAATTTTTCAAATAAAATTTTTATATTTAAAATAAAAATTTTAGATATTTTAAAAAATCCAGCACACAAATGTAGTAAATACAACACACATTAAAATAAATAAATAAATATTTACAATAAAAAATATTTACCCTAAAAAAATAAAATTAAGAAAATTTTTAAACATTTAAAAAAGATAAACCTAAAATTTTTTAAAATACAACTCATCAAAACTCATAACCAAATAAATTCTCTTTTCAAAACTCAAAATATAACTCGAAACTCAAATTATGATTCCAAAATTAAACCAGACGGATTTTAGAAGAAAATTATTATACAAACATACAAATCTTACAAATTAATTTTACTGCCAATACATTTTTTTATAATTCAATTGAGACCCAGTACAATAACATGATAAGAACAACTCAGCCCTTAATTTGTATATTTATATGGGAAAATTCTATTTAGAACTTGTTTGGCATCCCCTAAATAAGTGCATTTATTTAGATAAATGTATTTATTTATATCATATCATCTCTCTACTTTTTTTCACATCTTTTCGTGAAAAATAAAAAAATACACTTATTTAAACCTAAGATTTAGTAAAAAAAAATACATATTTATAAATATTAATAATTAAAATTATAAACCTTTTCAGGTATATATAAATATTTTTTTTAAAAAAAACTCTGAATTATAATTCCCCCCATTTATATTGTATTTTTGTTTTTCTTTAAATAATGTGCAGCCCAGATTCCACAATAAAAAGGAGCTGATAAAAAAAATTAAAAAAAAGGAAAAATAACAATTTAGTGTAGTTTGAGAAGAAAACAAATTCAGAACAGTGAGACTTCACAAACTTCAATAATTAAAGTAAAAATTTTCCATCAATCTGTAATTATTTTGAGACAACACCACTAAATTGTAATAAAATAAAATTTTAAAAAAAAAGCTCTAAAAGAGAGGCCTTAAAGTCTCAACTCCAACCACTCTCTACTTTTCACTAGCTAAAATATAAAAAAAATATATTTTTTATTTTACCTAATTACTTTAACTATTGTGTTCTCCAATCACACTCTTTATTTAGCTAATCATTTAAACTACCTTAATTAATTTTTAAAATAAAAAAATACTAATTGTTGATATTTTACTAATATAAATTTACAATAATAATAAATTTGTCCATACAAACATACAAAACCTGTAAAATGAGGAGAAAAAAATACAAAATACAAAATAAATTTTCCATAATTCATCAAATAGAATTGAAAAAACATACAAAATTGCTACATACATACACACACACATATATATATATATAATCTCAAATCCAAGACATAAATATACAAAAATCTAAAATATATACATATATAATTGTTTGGAGAGCCTCTGGGACTCTTCAATTGTAACCACCAAAAAAATATGATAGTAAAATAACTAACCCAATAGCTAGCCCATTGAAGCTCAAAATTAGACTTAAATTGACTAAAATACCTAACAAGCTTGGTTTAACTATCCCCTTATACTGTGTTTGGTTAGGGAATTTGGGAAGAGATTTAGAAAGAAAAAGGAAAAAGGAAAAAAGTGTGAAACTATGTGAAATATAAGCATGATTTATTCACATTTCTCCTACATTTTTCATTTTCCTTTCCAAATCCCTCTCCAAATCCTCTAACCAAACACGGCATTAGAGATGCTCAATGGCACTAAGATTTTAAAAATTAAAAAAAAAATTAAAATTAAAAAAAAAATTTAAAAAAAAAAAAAAAAAAAAAAAAAAAAAAAACCGAGTACAATATTCCGTTCTGTTGGGTTGGTGAGAAAATGGGACAACATTTATATGGCAGTTACCAGTCTCATTCATTCCCTTCTAATAGACATCATTTTTCAAACCATCAAACATGGTTCTAGAATTCCAATAAATAAACAAAATCAACGAATATTTGACAACCAAATCTTCAAATTTGAGCCTTCTCTTGGAGGGGGGAAAAAAAATTACAGATACAATCTAGGAGAAATGTTGACAATATATGATTCATATTGCTAAACATTGTAGTATGTGACAAATGTAACAAAATTTCGAGAAAGTTCGTCGACCTTTAAAGTAACAAAATTTATGATATAAGTGAAACAAAATAAAGGTTCTTAAACATATTTATTAGAATGCAAACTAATCTAAACAGAGTTTTTCAACACAAAGGGACTAAACAAATTAAAAAAATCAACATATACAATACTCGGAGAAGCTTCTTCGCCATCCAAAAAAATAGGGACCAAAACAAGATATCTTTACCTCTCAATGCGATTTAACAGGTTTCCTCGCTTGCATTAAAGTTGTACTGGTTCGGTTCCGTGTGTGGACTCCGTGAATTGCATCTCCAACATGCCTTGCTTCACCTGATCCGACCAGAATTCTTGTCTTTCTGAGAATCCCCGTGTTTCTTTCTTCTCGGAGCACCTATGCCAGTGGGGTCCACCAACGGGCCAGACCAAGTTTGAATGTGTGGTTTTGAATATGAAAAGTTCATGGAACTGAAGGGGATATCAGGAGGGTCAAAGGATGGATCGATGTAATGTGAAGAACCTAAAGGGTAACCCAGTGTCCCGTCTTGATGTGGAGGAGGAAATTTCTCGCTCTTGCTCTTGGCGTTTGCATGTGTTATTAGACGCCGCCTCTGTTTAATGAACATGACATGGTAGTGTAAAATAATCGTTAGTACTGACTGAGAAAGGTCCGAGAAAGGTCTGAGTTTAAAAACAAACAATCCGTGATAGACACCACATTAACAAACCTAGAAATTATTTAGCACGATGAAGCAATTCCTAATCATGTTTTGTGCAGAGACACACCAAGTGACTAGAGAATGGCCCCCCAGTTCATATTACTAAAATAAGCTAAATATGCTTCATCCGACCCGTGAGGGTTAGCTAGAATGGTAGTTGCCCAGGTTCTATCCCAGAGGTCTTAGGTTCGAGTCATGATATCCTACTTTGCCTGATATGAAGGTCAGTGGATGGTCACACGTAGCCAAGGTTCAGCTCCTAGGATGGGTTCAAAGGACCCCACCTAGCATCGGTTAGGGGTTGTCAAAAAAAGAAGTGGGTGCTTTATCCCAACCACAAGTCCCTCTCTTTTACACAAGAAGATTTCCTAATACAATGAGAAATTGATTGCCTTCCAGACATTTCGACAAAATTAATTGTAAGGTTTGCAACCCAAGCATTGTCAAGTCACATGTTAACGATAATACAATGTATAGGTTTCTATGAACTGAGGTTAAAACTGGTAAAAAGTGGCACCATAACATGTACATTCCTGTTTCATGCCCGGTAATGAAGAATGGAAGACCGTGAATGGTTCCTTGCAGTTTTTGTTTAATCTAGATTCAACTAAACTAACAAACATATTGAGCCTCAGTGAATTGATGTTGGTAAATTTAAATAAACAAAGCATGAAAAAATGTTGCCGAAAGAAGAAGATTATCAGACATACATCAAGATTGGCTTGTAGCTCAGCATTGGCTTCTGGAGCAGGGACTGCCCTTACAGCTCGCTCACGCACGCGAGTTTTCTTCACCCCATCAGCATGACCTTTACCAACAGCTCTCAGTCTACAATCATGAATCAGCTCCCAATTAGAGAGAGAAGAGGGAAAAAATACTATGCATTACACTCATTCAACCTCTTGTCTTAGCTAAGAAATAGTAGATATGATCATCAAATAACAGGGAAATAAATTTGAAAAAAAAAATGATATATCAACAATTGCTGAAAATTACAACAATTATGTAGTAATTTTCCCACAAATTTGTTATAAAGTTTTTTGTGTAGTTATTTTTATACAGTTCAATTGTTCATAATTTTCAATTCCAAACCAAACCAAGCCTTGTATCCCAATCACGTGGGGTTGGCTACATGAAACCTTTTTTGCCATTCTGCTCTGTAAAAGCTATATAATTTTGAAATGTAGCATCAACTTCACTTCCAAATTTTTGAATTGTGCTATGTATGTCTGACCTTACACAGAGAATATGGGGCCAAAAAATAAAGAAGAAAAGGTTAAAAAAATTAAGTTGTCGACAAACCTTCTAGCTTCTTCGTCCCGCACTTTAGCATCCATCTCCTTGCTGGGAGGATATTTTGGAAGGCTTGAAGGATCGCAAGCATAAGGTTTGGTCGTGAAGAACTGTCCAAATAAAAGCAAAACAAACACTGAGAATATTGAAAAACACACTGTATGAACATTATCAAACAAAATGCAATGCATCAGAGTTACAACAAAGAACTTGGCATACTACTCATAGATTTCACAGTTGCAACGTTAAAATGCACTACAAATGACACCAGTGATCATGAAAAATTGAAAATGATAAAATGGATAAACAGTCATTTCATAAACTGCTCCAGTGGACCTACATTGCAACATGACTAACAAATGAGCCAAAAAAAGTTATCTGATAATCCACCAGTATGCATAATAAGGTCTTTAAAGCCCCTTACAAGATAAGGTTAATAGCAGAGTGTCAAATCCATGGCGTCGATTACCAAAGAATCTTACATAAAGAAATTGAAGTCTGTCTTCCAATAGATAAAGCAACCACATGTTTTAGCCAAAAAATCAAAAAGTCACTATAAGTTGCCACATTAGTTTCTTTACTTTTCTGCACATCTTTTCGTAAAAAGTCAAAAAGTTACTAAAATAGCTTATTCCCAAATGAAGCTTAAAAGCCTAACATAGCAAGGACTTCAGAAAATTCTATCAACCCTTGGCCTCCATAATTGAAAGAATATTCCATTAATCCACTGCTTATAATGTGTACTTACCTTCACAGGTGTGTTAGTTGTACTTGCACCTCCAGTGAGAAGTAACTCGTCGTAATTTTTAATTGATATTCATAATTACTAGTCATTTTTTAGAAAAATGTGTGATTTTAATTTCAAAATTATGATATAATTACCCTTTTTAATAAGTAATTAACACAATAAAATTACCTTGAAAGTCATTCAGCTGTAAACCTAGCCGACCCCATTTGATGGGACTTAAAGGCTTGGTTTGGTTACATTCAGCTGTAAACCAGTTTAAAACAGAGAAAAAAACATGCAGAAATCACCCAAATCAGAGCCTGTGTAGCAAATAGATCATGTAAAGAGAGGAAATAGAAGAAGATCAATCTGTAATTAGAATATAAAAGCTCACTTCACTCCTCAACGCAGCTGAGGCAGTTTGTCGTTCAGCTGGATCAATAGCCAAAAGTGTCTCAATTAATGGCAATGATGAAGGTGGAAAATCTTTAAATGTCTCTGCTATGCATCTTTTGTATGATTGTTGGGGCTTAAACATGGTTGCATGTGGCAACTTTGATTTTTTCCAGTATTCTTCAGAAGGAGAGCCACATAGCTTGAATATTTTGTGTAGCTGCTCCACCTAAGGAAAATAGATAATATGCATTAGTTTGCACAGAAGCGGTAGGAATCACAAAAATAGTTGCTCTCTAATTTTATTATTCACCAATTAAATCAAGGCATATAATGCTCTACTAAAACCATGGAATTGCTCTCCTATTATAATTGCTAAATAAGAAGCCAAAGCAAATATCTTAAACTGAGATAACAATAACATCAACGGCTAGTAGAAGGCTACAGCACAAGAATTTAGAATCATAACGGTGGTATTATCAGAAACTAACTATTAATCCCAAAAATACACAAAAAAAAAATGAGCACTAACCATAATGCATCAAGCATGCAGTATTCCCAATGTTTCTTTTCATGTTCTAACAAATATTGATGAAGATTCACTATACCCTGTTTGAATAAATTGATGAAGGGTGAGGCTATCATAATATCAGAGTCAAAAGACTCAAAATGTCTCACATAACAAAATCTCTCATAATGATTTTTTTTTTCATTAAAAGTTTAAAACAAATGGAGGTGAAGCATGTAAAAGGAACATTTGAATATCATTGATCGTCTCAAATAGTCAAAAAAAATTGTCGTTTTCCAAGGTAGTTCGTTCATTTATTGACCAAAAGTAGCATAGTAAATACATCAGAAAAAGTATGAAGTTAAAAATCAATGTGGTGCAACATCAAGCATCCCAATGGATGACTCTTCAAATCAAAGTATTACAATAATGTATTGGAATCACTCACAGAATACAGTAAACAAAAATTTTTAAAGTTACCTCCGTTCGACCAGGCATGATGGGCCTCCCTGCCAATAGTTCAGCAAGAATGCAACCTGCACTCCATAGGTCCACGCCTACACCATAGTCAGTGGCCCCAAGAAGAAGTTCCGGTGGCCGATACCATAGAGTAACCACCCGACTAGTCATTGGCTGCTTGTGGTTAGGGTCAAAAACCGAGGCTAACCCAAAATCAGCAATCTTAAGAACCCCACCATTATCAATAAGAAGATTTGAACCCTTAATATCACGATGCAACACATGGCGGTTGTGACAATGTTCAAGCCCCAACAATAGCTGATACATGTAACACTTGACCTACCACATTCACAAATACAACATAAGGAAACAAAACAACCCCATTAAAAAAACAGTAATCAAAATTCAAACTTCAAGAACTAGCAAGAAAACAAATATAAACTAACCTGAGATTCTGTAAATTTGATTCCTGGGCTTGCAGCAAGTCCAGCCAAATCATGTACCATATATTCAAACACAAGGTACAAACTACAAGACATCCTCGACGTCACTAAACCATGCAATTTCACAACATTGGGGTGATCCAAGCGTCGCAGAATTAAAATCTCTCTCGCCATAAATTTTACACTCTCGGGCTCCAAATTGTCGAATCTAACCTTTTTCATTGCAACAATTTTCCCCGATATAGTATCCCTAGCTTTATACACATTACTATATGTACCCTGCCCAATCTAATCACAAAATTACCAAAAAAAAAACATACAATAAATAATAAGACAATAAACCTTACAAGCATTAACAAAAATGAATCAAAATAAACTAAAAATTAATAATACTTGCCTTGTCAATTTTCTCAAAAGTATCAGCTCGACGAGGTGTCCACCCATTAATCGCCTCACCGGCAACATCAGAGAGCCAAGATGGCCACCCTGCAGCCACTTGCTCGCCATGTACACAATTGGGTGGGTTACTCAGCCTTGGATTCGGCCTTGATCGTCTTCTCTCTCCTCTGGGCCTAGTACTCTCATCCTTATTATGCTCCTCTGTCTGATCCACACCATTCTGAAAAACCTCACCACTACTCTCCCCTTTCGCAACACTAACTTTCTCTCTCCTCCCCGACGACACGGCCAAATCCCTCTGCCTCACTACAGCCTCCGACCTAGCCGGTCCTGACGACGAAACCTCCCTCCCAAACACACAACCCATCTCTCACCCACCCAAACCCTAACCCTAACCCTCATTTCTCATCACATTCCTCAATCTTAACCTTCATTGAGGAAAAAAACCCAGATCAAAATATAACCCCAAACTACACAAATCTTCACATAAAAGCTCAATTGCAACAATGTTTTCGATTAAGACAACCAATACACGCATAATTCAAGAACCCTAACTTTTTGCCTAAGAAAGTATAAGCAGCAATGATTTATGGGTTAGCCCACAATTTATGGTGGTCAAAAATGAGCTACAACAAAGCAAGAAAAATTAAATAAAGTGATGCACAGTAATGTAAAACAAGCTTTATTGAGCTTTTTTTCTTTTTTTTTTTTTGGGTGGGTGATTGGAGATCAAACTGTGTAAATTGCAAAGTTGAGTTATACCCAAGAAAAGTGATTAACTTACTAGTAGATTGAAGATCTGCATGGAGATTTATAGTGAGAAAAAAAGGGTTGTTGATCTCTTTTCTACTCTGCTTTTTCTCTCTAATAAATACATATATATATATATATATATTATTTATGATTTTTGACTATGAAATACCACTTAATACTCTATCGGGGTTGAATGAATATTTGCTTCGTGGCCCCAACACGAGGCCATCTCGATAAGCCTGCCCTCTTTGCTTTCAATATTGATACATTTTGATTACAAGTCTTTTTGTTCTTGTTTTTGAACAGCACTCGAGACGATTACAAATCAGTGAAAATATGGTAAAACATCTGTAAAATTATAAAGGTGAGTGTGACTCAAGTATAGCGACAACTTTTGTTTGCATCAGAATACAAATTCATTGCAGTTTCATCATTTTATAAAATATTTGTCTCATTTCCCAATTTTTAATGAATATTTTTAAAATCTTAAACAAGTTTTGCTATTTTTTAAAATGTATTTTACTTAAATATATTTAAAAAGTAAAAAATTATGAAAAAATATTTTAAAAAATTAATAAATACATAAAAATATAAAAAAAAATATACTAAATTCTCATATTTTTTTATATTTTTGGTATTTAGTGAATATTTGAAAGATTTTTTTCACAAAAATTATACTTTTATGTGTATTAATGTTAGGTGTCTAAAAATTAAAAAATTGCTTACAATTTTTTTTAAAAAATCAATAAAAACAAAAAAAAAACATGAAAAACAAGAAAATAAAATTTCTTGAATTTTTTTTGGAAAACTAAAAACAAGCAAAGTGTATATAGTTAATCTTAAATTTTTGAGATAATTAGATTGATCTTCTCATGATTTTTATTCATATAATATTTAATGCATCGTTTGGGAACAGATTAGTTTTTAATAATTTTTTGATTTTTTGACTAAAATATGAAGGGGGAAAATTAGTATATTTTGAATGACTTTTTGATTTTTTACGAAAAAATGTTTAAAAAATAGAGAAAAAAAATAATCTTTAATTTTTTGGTATAGATTATAGGATTTTTGGTTTTTATAATAATTTTTTGACTTTTAAGCTAAAATAAGCACTTGTCAAACGAGGCCTTAGACTTTTTTCATCAATAATCTATTAATCATATTAATAACAAAAATTATATTACAATATATTTTTTACTAAAATATATATTTAACTTTATTTATTTCAGTATTTGCCTATTTATCATTTACATTAATTTTAATCACTTTAATTTTTTTTAAAAAATTATTATAATTATGTTAAACTTGTGAAGTCAGCTGTATTTTTTACAAATTTCAGTAGAGTATTTAACCTATAAAAAAATGTTACCCTAGTCTTTTGAGTGTTTTGGGACAAACATTCCTCTTTAACTTTGTATAATATGAGAGGTCAAAAAAAAAATTTATTAACTAAGATCTCTTTTATGAAATTTCTCTATGATCATATCAGAAAAATTTTGAAATTTTTCTGTGATCATATTAGAGAAATTTTTCTATGTTAGGGTTGAAATTTCTCTAAATTAGCCACAAATTTTTCCGAGTCGAATTTTTTCTATGAAAATGTTTAGTGACCCAAACTATTATGAAAATATTGTATGTCATTTATCTTATAAAATCTTAATATTAAAGACCTTAAAAAAAATCCTTATTTATATTGAAAGAATATTTTGAAAATAAATGAAAAATTAAAATTATTTCGATTTCAACATTAAAAATGTATATATATATATATATATGATAAAGTTAAGTCTCGATTTTGGCACTGCTTAAGGCCTCGTTTGAAAACAGATTTTTTTAGTAATTTTTTAACTTTTTAGCTAAAATATGATGTAAAACAAATTAGTATGTGTTGACTTTTTGACTTTCGAAAGTTATTATTGTAATTGCGAGCGTGTCAGGAAGGATCAATGCTAGCAAGAATCAATCAATCCTTACAGAAAATTAATTGCCAACTAATTATCAGACAATTGTATTTTAGTTCTTTCAGCCTCAATGAAGAGGACTTTTACTGGTGGCTTGATTTAGGAGAATTAAGCAAAATAATAATTAAATGAAGAACAGTTGAAGTATTTCATTAACATGAAAAAATTTACAATGATCCAAACTCAGCCTCGTAGAGGTTTACAGCAACAATCTACTTGAAACTACTCCTGTAAACGAAGTGCAGTGCAGGAATTTAAAGTACAGAAAATGTAAGACTGGAAAGAAAAATAAGTATAATAAGACTAGTTTTTTTGATCTGAGTCTGGGGTTTTTTTCTAGGGCCTTCTCTGCTATTTATACTTCTCGAGGATGACCATCGAACTGCGTTTTCAACCGTCGAACTGCTCCTCCATGACCGCTGATCATGCTGCCTTGTAATTAGCCTACTATGCCATCACTTACAGTTAGACTTCCCTCCTAAATTTGAATTTAAATGTGAGTAACTGTTGAAACCACATCACCTTGCATCTTTTTGTTGGTTCACTGCTGCTCAGATCTCGTAATAACCAATACTAACTGTCACGTGTACGATCAGGATCGAAGACTTGAATAGTCTTTGTATATTATCCTTATGTTGTCACGCGTCAAATTGTTATTGGCTTGTACAAAATATGTAGCCAACATAACCATCGAACTGCGTTTTCAACCGTCGAACTACTCCTCCATGACCGCTGATCATGTTGCCTTGTAATTAGCCCACTATGCCATCACTTGTAGTTAGACTTCCCTCATAAATTTGAATTTAAATATGAGTAACCGTCGAAGCCACATCACCTTGCATCTCTTTGTTGATTCACTGCTGCTCAGATCTCGTAATAACCAATACTAACTGTTACGTGTACGATCAGGATCGAAGACTTGAATAGTCTTCCTGTATTACCCTTATTCTGCCACGCGTCGAATTGTAATTGGCTTGTACAAAATATGTAGCCAACATTACCCCCTGCACTAATATACCCAATACTTGGTGATATTAGTGGATCAAGGTCTTTTACCCACGTCTTGGAACGTGCATGGGCTTTGCATTCTTCTAGAAATGCAACTGTTATTCATCATCTGCATTAACTCCCCTTCAATCTTTTGAACACCCCCACCACCTTAGTATTCGAACAGACTGATACATTTTTATGGCCGAATCAATTTCCTTCTCCATTGATCAAGCACACGAAGAGTCATCTGATGATGTTGTCCCTCCTCGAAAGAACCTCATTGCATTAATTAGCCACCTTTATCCACCTTTCTATATTCAGGTCATGGATGCCTTTGCCAATTATCAACCCTTGGACTACGAACACATTGCCCTTAATCCTTTGATTCAGAAACTTACAAATATGGACATAGGAAATTCTTCTTCTGACTCACCCTTGGACTACGAACGACCTGCTCTTAATCCTTTGATTCAGAAAGTTGCAAATATGGACATGGGAAGTTCTTCTTCACAACCCTCTGCATGGGATAAGGTTGCAGCTTCTTCTTCCTCTGGGACTTCTAACTGGACACACTGGTCAAAACCTGAGGCCTGTGATTTAAGGGAGCGGATCAACCATCACTTTGTCGAGTTTACTGACCCTTTAGAGTTCCCTTCCTATGCGCGGAGCTCAGTGGTCTATCCTTACGTACACATCGATCATCGATGCAGTTTGGAGGAAAATCTGCTTGTAGCATGGTTTATATCCTCCATGCCTACAAGGATAATGCATGTTGCCCGACGCCTCGAAGAGGCACAAGGGTACAATCCATCATTCTTAGCCCAAAAGGCGAAGATTTGTTCTTCTGACTGGCTCGATTATATTAATGCCCTTGTTCCTTCTGCTCTTGCTCCATCTCCTGAAATAGAAGCATCCACACCTCCTTCTCCACCAAATCCTTGCTGGACAGAGAGACTGAGGCTTGCCCTCTCCGCGGATAAGGTCTTTCCACCTTATAAACCTCCACATTCCCCTACTCCAACTGAGCGAAAGCAAGCTCAACTTCTGCTCGTGGCTTTCTTGCACTTGCCCTTCAATGTTCTTGAGGACGAAGTCCCTCTCAAGAACCTTCGATGGGCTTGTGATATTCTAACTCGAGGTCATGTCCTCAATCCTCTCGCCCAAGCAGAGCTTCACATGTTTTTGGACCAACTTCCATTGCTTCTCCACTAGCATCGAACCTCTATGGCCACCACACAATCTTTAGACCAACTCTCATCCCTTCGAGTTTATGCCCAGTACGAAGTAGAGAACTTCATTGAAGAATTCAATGATCTGAAGAATAAAGATTCTGCGTACTGGGATGACTTGGATATAGACGAATTGGAACAAGGATTGAGAGAAACAACATTCAAAATAAAGACTGAAGAGCTCTTTTACGAAGTGAGAGCACATCAACTCGTGCAGCCAATGTTAGAAGAAATAGAGGATAGAATAAAGAAAGAACAAAAATTCCTTGATCATAGTTGGACCAAATTTCATGATCTTGTTATTTATTCTATTCCTTACTTTTATGAACTTGAATTTGTACCCAAAAAGGGCCATTTAATGTAATTACTTTTGCTTTAATACAACTAAGACTTTTCTCTTTATTTGGCATTGTTTGATCTTGTCTCTATTTGTCTTTAAAAGCAAATTCAGGGTTTCGAACTAAACAATCTTATCCTTTGAATCTGGACTTAATTGTTTTCAAATGCAACACTAAAACCAACACGAACTTTTCCAATTTATGGAATAATCTTTTACGAAGTGAGAGCACATCAACTCGTGCAGCCAATGTTAGAAGAAATAGAGGATAGAATAAAGAAAGAACAAAAATTCCTTGATCATAGTTGGACCAAATTTCATGATCTTGTTATTTATTCTATTCCTTACTTTTATGAACTTGAATTTGTACCCAAAAAGGGCCATTTAATGTAATTACTTTTGCTTTAATACAACTAAGACTTTTCTCTTTATTTGGCATTGTTTGATCTTGTCTCTATTTGTCTTTAAAAGCAAATTCAGGGTTTCGAACTAAACAATCTTATCCTTTGAATCTGGACTTAATTGCTTTCAAATGCAACACTAAAAACCAACATGAACTTTTCCAATTTATGGAATAATAGTTGACAATTTTTGCTGATTTTCATTTAGAATCAGTGCTTCGAATTCGACAGCCCTACCTCTTAAAGT